CTGATTTACTGTTGTGTGTTTTGCCAGTTGACATCTCAAGTTCGGCTCAAAGCCCCATACAGCAGGTCAGACGGTCAACAGATTTACGCAAGACCACAGAACCAGCAAGAAGTACAACACTGCAAAAAATTATTTCTTACTCAGTATTTTAATATTGATTTTCAGTACAAATATCTAAACATTCTGAACTTAAGATATATTTATTTGAGAAGCAAAATGACTTAAGAAAGAGTCTTATTTTTTTCTTTTTTTTTCTGGAAAAAAAATCTAAATTAAGTGAGTTGTTGCTTAAAACAAGAAAAACTGCCAAAGATCTGCCAAATAGGCTACGTTAAATTATTATTTACCCTTATGTTCCCTTTGAATTAAATTAAATTCAAAACTTACATTTTTCTGACCGCATTCACTGAAAAATATTAATTGAAGAATGTAGAAACAGTTTTCACTAAGAAATTGCTAGTAAATTTCACAATTAATTACAAAGAAACATCAGCTAACACACTTCAAATTTTGAAGAAAGGCTGAAATAGTATTTTCTGTATATATTTATGTACTCCAATAATCTTTGTTTTATTTACATTTTTACAGTATTGGCAAATATTTATTCTTGTTGTAAGCATAAACTCATTTAATTTTGATACATTTTGTTCAGATAACAACAATTAAAGTTGCAGTAAGCGATTTCTGAGAAACGCTGTTGAAAGTGAATCGAAACAAGCGCCAAAACACACTTGTAGCCAATCACAAGTAAGGGGCGTGTCCACTTGAGATGGGGGAGGTGCCTGTGTTGCATAGTATGTTCTTGAATTTTGGGGGCGGGGCTATCAAGATGGGTAGGGGGCATGTTTGCTTTGGTGATTTCAAATATCAACAGCGTTTCTCAGAAATCGCTCACTGCACCTTTAATATCTTATGCCATTTATGTCATTCTCAAGTAAGGAATGTTTAAATATTTGTATTGGAAAACAATACTGAATAAGAAAATCATTAACCATCACTGATTACTCATGAACCTCCAGAAACCGTCTTGTGGACTTTAGGATCAGGGTGTGAGTCTCGTTTGGGGTATCAGCACTCAGACCTTCATCCCACGTTAACGATTGTTGTAGAACTAGCACTTGGTCCCAGTTTAGAGATTGACTTCTAATGAGGTGTTTGTAAATCCTCCACGGTCCTTTCATATTGTGTGAAGGTTCTGACGGGTCAGCCTTCCCATGCTGTCGGCCTCATATGCAGCTCAGATGTTTGCAGTGAGCCATCGAAAGGAAATTCCACAGAGCACATAATTCTGTAAAATCTGGCGGACCGCAAATGTGGCATCCCGTAGTTGGGAATCAGATGTAAATCTTTAAAACTCAGGGTGGAGCTTCAAATGATTCAGAGAACCTTCCTTTGGGGAGGATGTACCTCAACAGACACGAACCAAACCTCATGCACATGCTGCTTTGTCCAGAACATTATGTTTGTTTCACAATTCAAACATTTCTAGAACAAGCTAATTGTTTTGGGGTTTTTTTTACTTGTTTTTGAAGTAAAAGCTTGAAACCAGCCCTGAACAGTGAATTTCTTCATCAGGATGTACTATGAACCGAGCTACTGCTGTGCAGAACAATGACTATGTTTACATGGACATCAGTAATCTAATTATTTCCCTTATTCTAAATAAGCCAATATTATGATTATGGTACATGAGTTGCTTTTAGAATTTTCCTTCCATGTTCCCGTTTGACATGTTATAGTACATAGTTCGATTAATGGCACACGTCATTACGACCCCATGTGACGCCATCCGACGTCCCCTCTCGATTTCGGTTTACTTCGATTATGACTTTAGCCGGATTAAGGTAATCAAAAATCTCTGTTTACATGGTAGATTCTTAATCAGAGTATGGTCTTAATCGTATTAAAATCGGAGTATTGTTGTCCATGTAAACGTACTCACTGTTAAGTCAGGTGCAGTTAACTCCTTTAATGACCTCCGTTGGCAATTAAGCTAATTGGTAGCAATGCAAATAAGCTTGCAAAAGCAATAAATGGTTACCATTTTGTATAATGAGATGTTAGTCTTCTTTTCTATGCATGTGTTTTATCATAAATCATTGTAAAAATGCACAAAAACATTGTGTCTTCTGATATCACTTGTTAATGATGGCCACTTTTGAAACCTTTGTGAATCATTTGTTTCAAACCTGTGATTCTGAGTCCGTATCAAACTGACTAAGTTATGTGATTTTGGTAAATGAGGCTTTGTTACGTCATAACGGTTTCGAAATTGTAATATTTCACCGCTAGGGGTCAATCTCGGTGAACTCATGAATCTCTGTCTATATGGTTTTTACCTGATCTCAGATCGGTTTATACATTTATAGACATTTTTAATTATACATTTGTATAATAAAAAGAAAGAGTTGTGGTTAATGGTCTCTTATTGGCCTGATTATTCAAGATCTTCATAAAACAAACAAAACAAGCCCTACAATTGAATAAAATATTAGACACTTCATATTTAATAGTATTAGATGATTCATTAGTAGATAACACTTTCAATAAAACATTTGCAATTAGTTTGTAAAAGGTGTTTTACGCATGTTTGAGCTGTGTTTTGTTACATTTAAACTGTTCTGAACTTTTATAGTAGTCCTAGTGTGCAATCAAATCCCAAATGCAAAGCATGCTGGGTAATCAGCAGTGCAACAAAATAATTAGCATGAATTGTGGGTAATATTTTGATATTTTTACCACACAGCACTGATATTCCTGCAAACGGCAACCTTTAACAAACATCAGAATAAGATGACGTTACAATAACCAGCCAATTTTAATAATCTTAAACAACATGTGTAACAGTTACACAAAGGCTTGTAAAGTTTCCAGAAGACATTAACATTGTGGTCTTAATATACACGGCAGACTTTAGATCAAGATTTATGGGGAAAAGTGATGCTTAAAGTTGTTAACTTGAACTTTCCTACTTTGTAGAGCAACTAGTGTGCCTTTGTATGACTAACTTTCCATAAATGGGCAAATCATACTTTGAATCAGTGTTGTGCTTTTGATCATTTAAATTAAAACCTCTCATCGTTGTAATAAAATACCAGTTTTGGGAGTTAAAGGATCACGGTGAGCTGCAAACAGGACTACCACTGACCTGTGGTGAAATTCTTACAACATTTTCGTGCTTTTCGTGCTTTCGTCACTAAGACCAAACCACAAACTATCCTAAAATGGCTGTTGCCGGCAATCTGCCTCTCAATGTAACCATTTTAAAAACATTTGATGATAATGACCTTTTAAAAAGGTATCGCCTTTGGTTTTGGAGGTTATTCCAACTCAAAATTTTCCTTTGATTATATCCTTGCTTTCATTAACCAGTTGGGTAAGAAGTAACAGCTCTTCTTGCATCCAGTTTGGTTTTCTTTTACGTTTGCATGTCTTACTATCAGCCATGATTATTCTACTCTGTTAATTAAAAGGCTGTTGATATGCATATTCACTAATTGTTTACGAGAAGCATACATGTAAGAGGCTGACAATAAGCTGAACATATACTTGTTTAATTAGTGACACTTAGTCCGCATTTTAAAATCTTTATTTGAATGTGGCAACATTTTTATTTTTAAACCCTTATATATGGCAACATCGTGCTCTACAATATTTCTATGAATAAATCTCTGACAGAGACCCCTCCCCTATCAGCCAATCACTGTATGCATAGTTAGCAAGCACTCTGACATCATCCATAGCAACGAGGTCAACCCCGCCCTTACTCTTAGCTTATTAATTACTCACCCTCGTGTTGTTCCAAACACGTAAGACTTCTTCGGAACACAATTTAAGATATTTTTGATGAAATCTGAGGGCTATTTGACCCTCCCATAGACAGCAAGGTAACTACCACGTTCAAGGTCCAGAAAAGTACCAAGATGATCGACAAAGTAGTCCGTGTGACATCAGTGGTTCAACCGTAAAGTTACGAAGCTACGAGAATACTTTTTTGCGTAGAGAGAGAATTCTCTACTGCGTCACTTGTGGACGCGAAAAATGTGGAATAAAGTTGTTATTTTTGTTTTCTTTGCGCAAAAATGTATTCTCGTAGCTTCGTAACTTTACAGTTGAACCACTGATGTCACACATTTCATTTTTGGGTGAACTAACCCTTTAAGACTTCTCTCTATTCCTTAGTAAAAGTTTGTCTCAGCAGCTTTGTGAATAGGTTTTAAGAGAAAACTCAGCTAAAAACTTTTACTGCTATTTAGGAGAACTCTTAGTGCTAAGATCAAATGTTTAGTGAATACGTGCCCAGATTGGTAGAGTGCTCACCCAATCAATCACTGACAGATCTGAGCATTTGGAGCTCAGACTGTTTCAGTTCAGTTAGTGCTCTCAGAATAAACCATCTTTCAAATATTTGTAGAGTACGAAACAATAGTTTAAAGGCTGTTTTTCTTTCAGTCATTTCTAGTCTAAGCATGCATGTCAAAACTCTCTTTTCCCCAGGGAGAGATTAAAGATTTATTGTTAAATCCCCTTAAAATAATAACATAGCTGTATATTTGCTTTTCTTAAGATTTGTGAAACCCAGCTTTACTTCCAAAGTCATTCCATGCCAAACATATCAGTCATCCAAGCGGAAGACAAGATAGCAAAGCAGTTTTCAGAGTGAGTGCTGATCACAAACAAATGCTGTGATATTTTTCTGAATTTTTCAAAGAAACTTTGTTCTGTGTTCGACTACAGTTCTTCACTTTAGGTAGGGGTCAATCTCCGTTCCTGGAGGGCAGGAGCCCTGCAGAGTTAAGGTTCAACCCTAATTAAACACACCTGATCCAACTAATCAAGTCCTTCAGGCTTATTTGAAAACTACATGGTATGTGTGCTGGAGCAGGGTTGGAACAAAACTCTGCAGGGCTCCGGCCCTCCAGGAATTGAGTTTGACACCCCTGACTTAAGGGAATGGTTAATGAAAGACCAAAGATCAAGAGAAAGTCTAATGGGCCAGCCCAGAAGGAAAGTTTATTGCTCAGAGGTTTCTCTTGCACAGCTTGATGGAGTCATGTTGCGTTATACTTAAATGGTAAATATGTATCATCTTAAATGTCTCAGACATTCATCCTACAATTCCTTAGGAGAAATAAAAAGATGAATTAATCAATAGGTGACATACAGTTAGAGTTTTAAAGTGGATATTTTAGCATTTCTGACCATAGTTTGAGATATTGTTGAGACTTAGGCAAACTCTTCATTTCATCTCATTGGTGTCTAGGAGAAAGAAATGAGAAAGTAAAGAGATCTGATTTGTGATTTGTCACATCAGTGAAGACTTTTAGCTGCCGTAAACTTTATTTTGGTTCATCTAGGTGCGTTTTTCTACTATTTTAAGATGTTCCTCTACAGCAAACATCCTGGATAACAATGGTGTTTGCTTTTAAGTGGCTGGACTTTCCACAACCATATGTGCCTGTATTTGTTTAACTGGTCATTGAAATGGTCAGAAGCATAACAGACATACAGTGCTGGGTTGATTACTTAAATTATAGTCTGTTACTGATTACAAATTACAAATTGATTACATTACTGACTACAATTTTCAAGATTACTCATTTTAGGCTACGTTTTCTGACTACTTTTGGACTACTTTTTAGATTACTTTTGACATGCCTTGTTTACAGATTTAAATGGCATTATTTTTATATTTAAAAAAAAGAGAGAAATAAAATGTATGGTCATTAGCCAACATCAGAGAACAAGCAAATGTGTTGTTAAACTATTGAAATATTAACTTTAAATCTCAGAGGGACTTCAGGTACTTATTTTAGGTCAAAGTGGTTTGACAAAAAATTTAAAAAGAAAAAAGAATTGGGGAGAATCAATAAATTATAAATAATTTACTGCCATTGTGTGAATAATCTGAATTCATGTAACCCATAAAGTAACTGTAATCTGATTATGAGCATTTTAAAATGTAATTACAATTCCTTAATTTTTGGAATCTGACTACGTAATCCAGATTACATGTCATCAGTTACTAACCAGCACTGCAGACATCAACCAAATGCAATAAAATAAAGCAGAATACAGCTAACAACCTTACGATTCTCCATCTCCTGAAGATTCTTCAGAGTTCGTAGTCATTTTCAAATGTCTCTTGGTGAGACAGAGTGCTGCTTCCTGGGAACCACGGTTTTCTGTTTTTGATTATGTCCTTGTAGTTTCCAGTTGTCTAAATCTACAAGTTGACACTCCTGCGGAGTCAGGACGGAACTCTACATGGGTCAGTGAAGAGCAATTAGCTCTGATACATGCTTCATTTTACACTGAACTACACCCAGTAACATCTCTAAACTCCAGATATGCCTAGAAACAATCAATAGGCACACTGGAAACACTACTGCAATATTGCAAAAACATGATAAATATGTTGGATTTCTGCTTGAGACTCATCTCCTAATCATTTTTGAACATCACCAACCACCCAAAGCTGAGAAGACACACAACAAAAATTAGAGCCAACTTGCATTAAAATGTAAAAAAATTAATAATAATAATAATAATAATAATAATAATTCTGTCAGAAATTACAATCATGTAATTATTTTTTTCACTCTCATAACATTCTAAATCTGTTCCTAGAAACATTAAAAATGAATTTTTGAAACTTGCCTTGGCATTGCTATTTAGTTGCTATTGTATCACAAGGGTGTTGTTAGGCACTTGCTCATGGTATAATGGCGATAGGGTATTGCTATGTGGTTGCTAGGGTGTTGTTATGGCGTTTTGTGTGGTTGTCATGGTGTTATGAAAGATTGCTAGTGCATTGCTAGGTTGTTCTGGCAGGTCTTAACGTGTTTATTAAAAACTGAATTTTCTAACGTTGCCTTAGCATTGCAAGTTATTTGCTATAGGTGCTCAGTGTGGTTGCTACGGCTTTGCTAGGGTGCTGTTAGGTATTAACTTCTATTATGATTGGTAAGGTGTTGCTATGTGGTTGCTAGGGTGTTATGCATTTGCTGTGGTTTGTCAGGGTGTTATGGCAGATTGCATGTGTGTTGTTAATGTGTTCTGGCTTGTTATAAATATAAACTAGAAATGAAGAAATGCTTCATTGGCATGTTTTTCCCCTATTTTTTCTCTCCTCTTGTGATATGACATTGCAGGCCAAATAAAAGGTCATCACGGGTCAACTTTAGTATCTCTTATATAGAGCATGAGTTGTATGGCTTTCATGCTTCTTTCATGATGTTTTTTGTCCTTTTTGGAGCTTGACAGTAGTGGCCGCTTCTACCTGTTGAATGTCCAAGGGCTGTAAAGATTCTCACCAAATTCTCCTTTTGTGTTTCCTGGAAAATAATAGCTCATAGATTTGGATCAACACGGGGTGAGTAAATCCTTTTTGGATGAGCTACACCTTTAACGTTTCCTCAGCAACACGTCTGTTGCACAATATTACTCACCCATGACAGATGCGCATCTGAAAGCAGCCAAAACCGAACCTCAAACAGAAGTCTTACATAATATCAGCAACTATCTCAAATGGCTCAGACACCGCACCGGTCAAGAGAAAGTCACTAGAGGGATCATTGTTCATTCATCACAAACATTCTTTTGTTCCCATCTCGGCTGTTCGTGTATGACGCAGCATATTTCCAGTCAAACGGAGGCCGCAGGAAATCCATGGAGAAACTGACTGTATGTCTGAGAACTCATAAACTCTCCGTGTCTAGCATGTTCAGGATCAGTTAGTGGAGCACAAGGCGTGGATCATAATGCATGCTCTCTTTAGGAGCAGGAAACAAACCCCAAAGGGTTTTGCCCTCTCTTGCCCCTCCGAGGAGAGCCACAGTTTTTTCCAGCAGAGGCACGTCCAAGAGCTGTTAAATATTGCCGATTTTTCCCCTTGTTTTGGGTATCACTATAAATCAAGCCTGACTGTCATGGTTACATCATTTCTGAGCTAAATGACAGTCAGAGATGATATTTGACCTTGTCCTGAATGATGCCCTTATAGAGAAACAAAAAAATGAATGCTCAATTTGATATTGATCATCTACAATAATATCGTAATTGTTGCTTTAACGATGTGCGAGCTGACATCAGAGTATGAATGAGCATATGCAAAAAAACAAACAAAAACCTGTCTTGAGAGTCCAAAAGCATTCACTGCATGATCAAGTCTATTAGAATGCAGTCAGAAGGCCCTATAATTCAATTTATGAAAGCAAAAAAATGTAATTAGTAAAGTAATCGATTACATTACACATTTTAGGTAATATAATTAGACTACATTTTGATTTATCACATTGATTTAAATAACAATCTTATACCATATTGATATTAAAATACAAACAGAATGAAAAATTCTCTAAATTATGTATACTTTATTGCTATTGTGTAAATAATATGTAATCATGTAATCAAATTAAAATGTAACTGTAGTCTGATTAGGAGTATTTTCAAATGTAAGCGAATTACAAAAACGTAATTTTTGGAATCCGAGTAATATTACACAATATGCCGAATATCAGCATGTGAGCGTGATTGCGAATGTGATTATTTTATACAACAGTTTAACAGACAAGACGTTACTATTGAATGAGTTTAATTTTAGGGACAATAGTGTCTGTTTTGTTTTGTTTCTGTTTCGCCAACAAAAATAGTTCAAACAAAGCTGGAGCAGAACATTTGTGCGTCTCAGAGCAGCAATGAATCAGTTTTTGACAAAATAATTTGAGTCAATAATCCATTCATTATCAAAAAACTCCCCCAAAATATTGAGATGCCATTTTTTGTTAATATCGCACACCCCTAATTTCTATGTTACTGTTTTGAAGACGATGTGAGTGCTGTTTGCCTGTGGAAACTCACAGCTGTACTGCTGTAAATGCTGGAGGGTGTTATGGCAGATTGCTTGAGTGTTGCTAGTAGTGCTGGGCGGTATACCGGTTCATACCGAATACCGGTGTTTATTTTTGTTATGATATGTTTTTGTTTGGTATGTCGCTTAAACAACTTTGGGAACGCGACACTGTTTGAAAGGGGTCCCTTTTCACTGTTGCACTGTGGTGAGGGAACAGCTGTATGTGTTACTAAGCGTGAAAGTTCTGAAACTGAAGCTGTAGAACTAATAGAACGTGATGACA